AAGCTTTGAAATAATCGATGAGAGACATTCCATTAATTTGATCTCTTGTACAGGATTGCAATTCGAATTGATTTAAACTTTGTTGATATTGTTCTTCTTGTTCATCGACTTTATATTCATAGGCAGCGTAAAAAATATTTAGTAGAGTACGTTTTCCTTGTTTTAAAATAGTACGCCGCTTGTTTTGCATATCAACTAACGTACGATCATAAATCGGTGGCGAATAAAAGTCAGGTGCAGTAATATTTTCAAATTGATCAAAGTTTAATGGTAAAAACTGACGAAGAATACGTTGTTCTAACATTGTAAATTCTTTGTAGATTTGTAATTGTGTTAGTCGTAGATGAATAATGTCTTCCAATACATGTCGTTGAGTATCTGTAAGATTGTAAGTGAATAAATCTTGATAGAGTTGCCGATCGCGTATTTCATCCTTATATCTCATTACTTGTTGATCTATGCGTTTGATTAAATAATTTTGATGTAATAAAACATAACATGTTAAATCTTTATCCATATTCTCCAATGATGGTAACAGAATTGGTATTGATGATTGTGCTTGTTTATCCAATTCGATATTACATTGATCTAATTGATCATCAATCATTGCTAATTGTGTCATAATATAATTTTCACATAGGTTAGATTGATCTGTTTTGGCTATTTCATATAATGAACGCTTAAAGACATAAGTAAACAAAAAAAAAAGGTTTATTCATAATTCATAGTTATTCTTATGAGAAAAAGAAAAAGAAAAAAAACTTACAGGCCATAATTTTTCTTTTAGACCAAGATCTAAATATGATTGCCATAAACGTTGATCGACTTCAAGACGATATTTGCGATCTAATAATTGTAGACGTACATGAACAAAAATTTGTTCATCTTTTTTATTTAATAAACGATTAAATTGTTGACGTAATGTTTGAAAGATGAAATGTGGTGAATGAGTTAAATAGATTGGTATTCTATGTAGACAAATACAGATTAGATATAGATTAAATAAAGTATAGATCTATGAATGAAACAAAAAGAAAAAAGAAAGAAAGTGTTATCACTACTACTTACGGATATTGCTTATTCACACTGATACTATTCGATGGAATACATTGATTGAATACGTTTCTTTTAATTTTTTTGGTTACTGGTGGCCGAAGATTGCCATGACTAATCGACGGCACTAAATGTCCATTAAGTTGGAAAGATGATATGTCTCTTTTACGTTTATTTTTTGATGCAATACGTTTCATTTCATTATTGTTTGTTTTGTGTTGTTTCTAGAGAAACAAATAATAATAGAGTTAATTATTTGTGATTATTACTTACGATTTCCGATACAGTTGTAATCATGGGATTCGTTTCAGGAACTATTGATAGATTAGTAATGTTCTTCGATTGTTTTGACTTTTGTTTTTCTTTCTCACGTTTTCGTGCTTCAATCGTGTTAGTTATAGTCGCTTCACTCATACCACGAGCACGTCGTCTACGACGAAAACGTTGAAGTTTCTTATTTCCATGATTTTTTTTGCGTGGTCTTTCTCGATTTGCTTCCATTAATGATGGATCGATGATTGAACGTGATTGAGACGCTAGTTCGTTTGACACATTGGTATCCATGTTATACAGATAAATTTGAATAGTAAAATCTGAAATGATAAAACATTTTCAATTAAAGCAATCAACATAAATGAGAATACAAAGTAATAGAAGTTAATATAAAAGAAATACGGGTTTATTCTTAGGATTGTATAGAAAGGTTATGAACTTTAAATTGATGAATACATTTAAATCGTTCTTCAATAATATGAGCACGTTGTTCGATTAATTCGAGCATTTTTCTTGTTAATTTTTGTTCATCAGGAAGTAGACATTGTTCTTTTTGTATTTTTTCCATTGTATCATTATATTGTTTTTGATAACGAATTTTTTGATCTACAGCCGACTGACTATAGAGTGTTAACATATCTGTTTTTGTTTGTTCAATTATGTTTCGATATTGAACATAAAGATCTTGTTGCATATTAATATTAAATATCGAATCAAATAAAGGTACACGAGCAATAGGTAACTGATCAAATGTTGATGAAGCATTGTAATGAATGAGTTGTTGATTGAGTAGTTCGCATGTATATTTGCTCAATTCCTGTTGTTGTTTGGCAGTATAGAGCTCTTCGACTATTTGTATCTAATTCAGAAAGAAACAAACAAAAAAAATTCAGTTCAATAGAGTAGTCAATGAGAAATTTCCATTCATCTTACTTGAGTTTCATTTGGATTTTGTTTAAGAAAATTGTCTTTTAAGATTTGTTCATCGTAACTATAATGTACCAATTGAATTTTATGTTCAATTTTCTTTCGTAAACTCATGAGATTTTCTTCCGCAAATGTTTCAATTGCTTGTCGAATCCTTGTTGAATGTTGAGACAAAAGATTGATTTTAGTCTGTAGATCAGCATGACATTCTTGTTTAGCTTTGTCCAATTCAATTAGACGATTTTTAACATAAATCAAACAGGCTTCATTCTGTTCGATACCGGAACGAACAGTTGTTTTAACCATAGATTGAACAGGTTTTACCCATAATTGTTGACCTAATTCATTTTGAGAATAATGAGACTTCAATTGACCTAAACCTGCTTGTAAATAAATCGTCCAAAGGCCATGTAAAACCTGGATGAATTTTAATCGATGTATCAAAATAGCCACAGCTCGAAAATTTTCTAGTTGACTGGATGATAGTTCATTTGTTAATGTTGTATTTCTAACGAGCAATGGAGTTAACATATTTTCTAATGATTTGTTATTTTTTGCAAGATAATCAGGTATTTTTTCTAAATCATTTAATTGGACCTTTTTCGATATTGTCTTGTTCAATTGTTGTTTCTGTTGATTTTTAGATGATGTAGACAATTGGCTGATTTTTTGAGATAGAACATGTTCGTCGACAGACTGAAAACGAAAACAGAAGCAATAATATGAATTGAAATAGTTTATTAAATAATATTTACTTTGTTTCTGTTTGACGACTGAGAATTTTTACATGCAGCGAGCAATACTTCATCACTTATTTCCATGTCATCAATATCATCATCTGTAAAAAGATCATTAAAATTTCGATACTAAAGCATACAAAAACAATAATAAGACATGACAATGATGATATGCTCAAATTATGCTTACTTGTTGTCTATCAGCAGCAACATTTCGATTAATTGTAGTTTTGAAATTATTTGATGATCCCGCCATAATTTATTGTTATAGTAAGTATTGAATTGGTGAAGTTAAAAGTTTGTATATATATATATATATATCTAAAATTGATTAACATCATGGAAAAACAAAAATAATAATAATTACTTAGCATTATGGACAATATGGATACAAAAAGTAAAATTGTTAGATAAAATAAACAAAAGAATGTGAGAAAAATAACCAAAATAAATAAACTTCTATAGAAAGATATTTCAATTATAATCAAGAAGGGGTGTGTATTAAGTTCAAAAGAATTACTACGACTAGTTTCGATCTTTCTCAAAGATCACCATCAGATAGTTTTAGCATTGCATTATTTTATAGAATAAATTTTAAGAAGATAATAAAATCTTCGTAAATATTAATTTATTAAACTATTCATTTTATAAATAACTCGTTAACATCAAAGAATGAAGGCTATCATTTTACTCGTCTAATAAAATCAACCAGTCACAATGCTGTGTCGTTTTATTATTCTTAGCTTGAAATACCCTCAGTCTTTGTTTCGTTGTAGCTATATGGTCATGGAAATAAATATTTTCGCAGCTTACTCTGATTTCAGATTGTGTTATCTAGATATCTGCTATCAAAAACTTATACTTCATTAATAGATATGTGATCATATTTAACAACTGTTGTTTTGGTATGAATTACAATAGAGAAAGATTTTCTGATTATGATTTTATCCAAAATAGAAAAAAATAAAAATATGCTTGGTCAAAAATATAAATAAAATAAATACATAGATCAAATCCTAAAAAGAGTGCACTGTAATGCAAGTAACTCTTATGATATGTATTCTGATATTGAGCAGGGAGAGAGAGACAAATAAAAAACTCAGGTGCAGTATGAAGTCGATGCGTAGTTAAAAAAAAAGAAGATAGTTAAAAGTACTTACCTTGAAAAGAAGAATATTGCTTGGCGATGAAGAGAGATGTTGATTTGAAAAGGGAGAAGATGAAACTGATACATTCAGCTGAAGATCATCGACTTTTATACTGTTGAACAGATAGAGATACAGAGAGAGAGAGTGAGTGAGAGAAAAAGAAAAATTCTTCTTGACTATTGGTCAAAACAGAATACTCCAATGAAATAAAAGCTGTGGAGAGTGATAAATGAAAACAAATATCATAAAAAAGAGAGAGAGAGAGAGTGAAAGAGAAAATGTTCAATTGCTCATATAGAATTGATCGATCGATTTGCTATTGTCTCCTTGCAATTAACTCACGCGAGATTATCCATGAATAATGGATCGATTTTCATCTTTGTATATCATCATCCATCAAAAAAATGTCATGAAAAGACAAAAGTAAAACAGATCATCATTAATGGAAAGTCGATTGGAGAAGATAATGTTGATTGATCACGCACCTCTGTTCGTTCTCTTATAGTGATAATGGCGGCTTGGACATTTTGTTGATTTATCATAAGTTCATCCACCAAAGAACACAATGTATTAAGATTATTCGACATGGTAATATTCGAGAGATTATCATTCGATGATGATGATGATGATGATGATGATGATGATGAAGAGAAGTTAATAGTGAATATGAGATCGAGATAGAAATGATTTGAAATTATTATTGATGTTGCACATGTCAACAATCTTGACGGTGTGTATGAAATTCATTCAAGTTAGAAAATCTAGAACAGAAGAACAGAAGAATGTTGAAATACCCTATGCATGATTTATAAATAAAATGGGATTTTTGATTATCTGAAAAAGTTTCCCTCTTTAAAAAACACAAAATTCATGTCGACATTTTTGTCGAATTATGTCTTTATTTGATGTAAAGAAAAAGATGAACGTGAGTGAACAATTGGATTTGTTTCCATATTTAAATATTGAATTGCTTCTTTTTCAAATAGGATTCTAATATATGAATCATTTGTTTTGTTTTCATTTGGTTCTCTTTGATCGTTGTCAACTTCGTCTGCAGTTCTTTAATATAAATAAATGGGAAAGGTTAAAAAAAAAACTTGAAATATCAATTGACTGGTTGCTTACCGAATTGGTGGTAACAACAAACGAGAATATGATGATCTTTGTCGGGTGGTGGTTGGATTAACTGACAGTTTCTACATGTCAATTCCTACAATGACGAGATTGATACAGACGTTTATTTGAAATAAAGTCTGTGAATATATATTCATTCTTATTGACCTGATCGGATTGATTAGATTGTCCTTCAGATTTATATTTTTCGAGTTCTTTTAAAAGTTCATTATATTTTCGTTGTTCATTTTGTTCATAATATTTTAAAAATTCAATCAAATATAATGGTTTTAAATCAACTTGTTTTTTGAATGGTTTTTCGAGCAGTTTTTCTAATAATTTATATTGTACTTCTTCTTGAAGTTCCAATTCCTTCAGTTTATATTCAATATCTTCTTTTTTGATTTGATTAACATCATTATGTTGACATTGAGTTTTGTCTTGTTGTAACTGATGCCATCGTTTTAATAGTGTGTCAATTTGTTCATTATTAAAAATTGAATGAACAAATGAATTCGATGTTGTTAGTTGTTGCGTATGACATTGTATCCCAGTATTGTTGTTTAAAGTAAAACAATCATCTGATTTGGAAATGTTATTTTGCATTTTTTTTTATTAAAGAAATCTAAAACATAAAATTAAATATTTCTCTGAAATATACTTTCCATTCTTTGAAATTAACAATTCATAAAAGAGTAGATATATTTCCAATAATAAAATTCAAAGCTATTGAACGTTTTGTTTTTTTTGGATGTGGATAGGATATATCTAGAACAAATATGACACATTAGAGAAAATGAAACATGCAATTATCTATCAATTTCAGTGGTTGTATAAATAATGAAATACGAACATGAATCTTGTTCGTAATGGGTTAGTAATGGTATCAAACTACAAAAGCAAAGTTGAGGAAAAAAAAATCCCATTATAAAAAGGAGTCATCGTCGTTTGTAATTTTCTTCATAGAGTTATTCTGTTGTTTTATTTTTTACTTAAATTTGAATAGGTTGAAATTAACATAGCTTTGAATGGTTTGACGTTAACATTCAAACGTTTATTGTCTAAATCAGCATTTGTATCACTATTGTTCAGCGTGAAGTTATTATCATGAACTAATGTATAAGAACATCGTCGTTGTTTTAATTTTTGGTATATTCTATGAATACAGTAAGGAATAGCGAGACAACATACAATAGTTAACATCAATAATAATAATAAGAAGAAGATAATAAGAAACATTCGATTAGAATCAAACATCATGTAATCATTTTTAATGTTCATATTAGTATTGTTACTGAAGTTTTTGTCATTGTTAATCATCATAATTGTTGATGTTACATTTAAATTAGTATAATTTTTACTTAATTTATTAAATATTTGTTTTAAATAATTAAGATTTAATGTATCTTGAGCATATATCCAATCTGTTTTATTAATACCGATAGGATATTCAAATTTTGTATAATTATTAGAATTGTAAGACATTTTTATGATGATTTCTGATGATGATGATGTCATGATTTAAATATAATAAAATAATAATAAACTTTAGTTTTAAATTGTACTTTGAATATGTACTAGAAGAATGTTATTAGATCTAGAATAGATATCGACTATGAGTATGATAATAAAAGAAAAGTATATAATAAGATAGTTTGCATTTTAGATTTATCAAAAATTTATATGCAAACATATACAGACTGCAAAACAATCGAGCGTAGCTATGAGTTAGTTTGTTTGTTTTTTTGCTAGTGATTTTATCACTTTCACATATGTCATTGTATCGATTTTGTGGTTGATATTGGCGGTTGTTTTAGATTAGCACACCAAACAAGATCATAGACACGACCATAGCGTTTTTCAGCATCAATACCAATAGGACAAATCATATTCAATTTGGTCTCAGCATGAATAATAAACAATGTTTCAATGATATATCGAAGTATGATTGAACGTATATCGGGTACTAGATCAATGATGAGAGAGAAAGCAAAACAAGAGATTCATAGTTGAGATCGAGATGCGTTTACTTACACACGGCAATAATTGCTACTTTATATAAGTCCAGTGTTAAATAGGGCAGTTGATCATTGGTACAAGAGATGAATTGCTGAAAAAATGAACGTTGTTGTTTTACTTGTTGATTTGAGAAGACATAGGCGGCTGGTGATAGTGGTACACAATCTAAATAGTTAGCTAATCTACGATTGCCTACGGCAGTACTCGTCAACACTTGAAGCAATAGAAGATCGGTATCAGATGTGCCTCGGGTATGAACACTATTTTCTGCTAGTGCTTCACTCCAAAGTACAGGAATAAAACACCAATAAATTGGATTACAATCAAGAAATGAACGAAGTGCTACTGGACATCGAGCTGAATGCTGATAGAGACGCATTCTATTGGCGATTTCGTTTCTACAAATATAAACATATACAATCAATCTGAATAATCATGTATTCTTTATTACTGTTTTCCGTTGGGATCCATTATTGATCCTCGAAATAATGGACTACCAGTCAATTTTTCATGTATAATTCTATTGCCATGTTCTCGATGATCTATATATATATATGAGAAGAAGAGAAATCAAACGATCGAAAGTGATCTCCTTTCTAATAGGTTTTACACTTACAAGCTAAAGCATCAGTCAATGTTTCTGCTGTCGAGTCAACGTAATCATAATGACCACATGGACATGTCATGGCATAGATTAAATTCGATGTAGTACATGTCTAAATATCATTCATAGAGTTTGTCAATAATAAAATTTAACTCAAGTCAAAAACAACATACTGCTGGACAATTGAGATAAGTGGTATATCCATTGAGAAATCGATGCATCGAACTTGAAGCAAAATCAATTACTGGCCATGTTTCAATTTTGTTGTAATTATGTATCGGATGACAACATGAACAAAATAAATTACCACATGGAATGAATGTATATCTTGCTTGAGGTTCATCGTTTCCACAGAATAGACCTTCACTCTTCGATCGCGGTTCAGCTCCACGAAACGAACAGGTTTTCATGTAGAATAGATCCACTAAAGAAGAAGAAGAAGGAAGAAAAAAGGAACAATATATACAATTACGAAATGTGATATATGTATAAGAAAGACTGACCATCTATTTGTAGATAGAATTCTAATACTAAAGCCATTTGTTTTGAATCGAGTATTGGTTCTTTCAAAGCAATATCTTTCTTACATAGAACAGTGCGTCGAAATGATTCATGTAATGTAAGAAGAAAAGAACATATTCGTCGAAGTTGATTAGCATTGAAAGTAATGATTGACTTGTCTATGTGTAATCGTGTCGCTAATTCTTCAGTGTCTTGTTCAGACAAAGTAAATCCATCAGAAGAATCACATTTTCCGTCGACACTAATACGTTAGAAATGTATACTCCTTGTTGACGGCGATTTATCTCATGAGACACAAGACGAGTCACTAGAAAATCGCCGAGTGGATATATGACGAGTACATATGTCAGGAAAAAAATACGCACCTCGTACATTAGCCAAGAGTAGATAATCATTTAGATGAATAGATTCTGTTGGAAATGTAGGCAAATATGCATATCGTCCATGATCATTTTGTTGTAATGTTGTTGGTTGATATCCATGTTGTTCATTGTTAATGAACGACGAAGAAGAAGTAATCTGTTTTTTTCGATTCAAATCAATAGTATTAGAATTCATATTCGATAGATTCGATGTTGAAAATTTTTTTTTTTCACAATTTTATCTGAAACAAGTGAACACCACTATAAACGGAAAGATAAATGAAATAGAATATTAATAATCTTCAAGTCTTTTATTCATTGAAGAATCATTGAGTTTTAAATTTATAAATGCATTGAATACGTGCTAAAATTTGCTTACAACGTCCATTGATACGATCAAACATTAACATTGATATTTCTTCATTATTAGTCAAGACACGATGATCATACCATATTTTTTTCTTATATTCATACTGTTGATTGACTAGATGCTTTATAATAAGCTATTTGTTGTTTTAGAAAATTGAATTCTTGTTCTCTGATCTATAGTTCATATTTATTTTGACACAGTTGTTGGAATAATTTACTCTAAAACAATCCAAACTAATAACAAAACAATTCTTCTCGTGTGTGTGTATATATAAACCTACTTGATAGTCTCATTTGGATGATGACAATCATACTGAACAAGTTCTATTTTAGATTCAATTTCCATAGATAAGGATACTAGATTTTGTTCAATATATTTTTCAAGTAGTTATTCTACATGTAGTGTGTAACTATTGAAATTATTTGTTTTCTTATTCCATTCTATTTGATTTTGTTTCAATTGATCATTTAAATCATGCACATTCAATAGTGTTGATTGTAAAATTCATTTCTTTGATATGGTTTTGAGCGCTTGATCAATGATTTACTGAAAAGATTTATTTTGTTTCGTTAACCAGCGAGGAGTTGTATTGATTTCATATTGAATATTATTAATGAAACATAGTTTCTTATCGGTTATATTCTTTGTTAATAATTGACTCATTTTTTGTGATAGAATTCTTTCAGCCACATTCTAAAATATATAAATATAAAAAAGAATGAATAATCACAATTTTATAATTTCGTTAAACAAAAAACAACAATCATAATAATAATAATAATAATAATAAATCATTTTCATTTACTTGTCTTTCATTGACTACATTATCATGATTATTATTAACTATTGAATGGACAGCCATGTCTAAGTCGTCTTACAATGATGATGACGATGATGATGAATATTTGAATCAAAATGAAGTATCTAAAACAGAAGGATTATTCATTTAAATAAATATGAAAAAATGGCACGAAAACAAGATAGTAAGAGTAATCACTACGAAGAAAAAACAAATAATTGCTGATAATTTTTTTTCTAAAACTACCAAATATACAGAACAAAAAAAAAGATATCAAATGAAATATCCAAATAGTGATTATCGAAAGCTGAAACAGAAGCAAAAAGACAGAGAAAAAAAGAAAAACAATAAATCCTACAAATAATAAGCAATGAAGAATTATTTTCATAAAGCATAACTTAATGTTTTGTTTTTAATGCTCATCATCATGATCATGATCGCTGGGTGGACGTTCATTAAGTTCTTTTATTGTTTTAATTAATGAAAAAGTAGATTCTGCGGTTGGTAGTGCTGGATGTTTTATATGATGATACCATTGATCATCATAAGGTCGACCATAACGTTGTTGAGGATCAATACCAATGGGACATATCATATTTAATTTTGATTCAGCATGAATAATAAATAAAGTTTCAATAATATATCGTAATATAATTGATTCATCTTGTGGTACTACAGAAAAGTAAATAGCAAAAAAAGAAATCAATAACACATAATTCACTTACGAACAGCAATGATTTTGATTTTATATAAATCAGCTTCTATATAAGGTAATTCATCAACGGGACTCAATAGAAGACGATCGAAAAAGATTCGTTGTTTTTGTATTTGTATAGATGAGAAATGACGTACTGTTGTTGGCAATGATACGCCAGTTAAAAGTCTAGCTACTTTTTTTTCTTGATTTGTGCGTCTCGGAAGCATATACACGAATTCGGATCTGGTATCACGAACAATTCTTGCATAGAGATCATTTTCTTGTTCAACTTCTTCTTTTGATTTTGAAATAAAACACCAATATGCTGGATTATGTTCAAGAAATAATTGAATTGCTACTGGACAATGAGCTGAATGTTGATAAAGACGCATTTTTTTCATAATAAGGTGTCTAACATGGATGATGATTAAAATAAATTCATAGAAAAAAATAAAATTCTAAGACAGAAATTCACGTACTGACAACGCTCTTGATGTGTCATCATTTCATGATAAATTGGAGTACCAGTTAAGAAACTATGCATCATATGATTATACACTAATCGATGATCTATAATAATAATAAAAAAGAAAACTTTTATTTTTAATGAATGATTTTTTTTTTTTGATTTACATACAAGTTAAAGCAGTAGCTAATGTACCCGATGTTGAATCAATAAATTCATATTGACCACATGGACATGTCATAACATAAACAACATTCGATGTTGTACATGTCTACAATGAAAAAAAAATAGGATCGTTTATTATTATCAAAAGTTTCATCAACTATTATATTCAACATACTACTGGACAATTCAAATAAGTTGTATATCCATTGATAAAACGATGGTTTGAGCTGTTTTCTATGGAATGACAACATGGACAATTAGCGGTACCACATGGAACCATACTATATCTTGCTTTTGGTGATTCATCATTACAGAAAAGACCTTGTATTGATGGACATGGTTCAGCATCACGAAATCGACATGTTTTCATATAGAATACATCGACTAGAAAACATATAGAAAAGTAAATCTACGATAACAATGAATTATTTATTGATATTTACCATCGATTTGTAAGAAAAATTCTAATATTAAAGACATTTGTTTTGAATTGAGAGTTGGTTCGTTTAAAGCTACATCTGGTCTTTCAAGTACTTTTCTTCTAAAGTATTGACGTAATTCAAGAAGTCGCTCACAAATGACACGTAATCGATTAGCATTGCATATAATAATTGATTCGCTCACTTGTAATCTTGTCGATAATTCTTTAGTATCTTCGGAAGATAAACAAAATGGTTCTCGACTATCATAGATATTGTTCAATATCGAACTATCTGATATCTGTGTAGCTTGTTGACGTTGTAATAGTTCATTTTGTACAAGATGACTATCTATAATATAGATTTAAATCAATGAAATAAATACAAAATTGAATTAATAATACGAACTTGGTACATTAGCTAATAATAAATCATCATTGGCACCCAATTTTATCATTGATGTTGCAGGTGGAAATATTGGTAAATAAAAATAACGTGTCAAATTATCTGAATTTACCGTTGTTGATAGATAACCTTGTTGTTCATTGTTTGATGTCGTCGTAACAGGTTCAGTTCGATTTGAATCCATAGTATTATTTCTTTTCAAATATGACAAAAATTAGTATCTAGAACAGATAATAATCTTGAGGATATGTATATGTATTATTTTTAAAGAAATTAACTACTATCTTTTAATATCAAAACAAAAAAATTAGAAATCTTCATTCACAAGGATACGTTCAGTATATGTTGGTGTTGGTGGTGTTGATAATATTGATACTGGTAAATTAATTTCTTCTAAAATCCGTCGACGTTTACGATCAGATTTGATCATCACCATTGTTATATTGCGAACGTTTTGAATTAAATAATTTTTCATTAACATTAAGGATGATATGAATGAATTGTTCCATTAAACCAGATTTTGCCAAAGGCTGATAATATCGATGGGGAATATATATATGATTGTCTTCTAAGACCTTTTTATTATAATCATTATTATGTTCAACTTGATCTTTTAATGTTGTTGATTTTCGAATAGTTGAAGACGAAGTCATGATTTGAAAACTCTAGAATATAAACAAAAAGAAGTGGTAGAAGGGTGTGCATGTGAACAGCTACAATACTCTAGATTTCATTGAAACTACCCAAATCATCAGGCAGCTTATAAAAATTGAAGGATTTCAAAAAGAAATCACATGTTCACTTTATACTTGACGTATATATAGAGAAAGTAATTAAAAACTCATATACGTATGTTGATAAATTCAAGATACTGTTGTGAACAATTTTACAGAACGTTTTGATATTGCGGAATCAATACATGACCTTGTCTTATCATAAGTCTAATTTTTGGATTCATCTATTTCAATCCAATCAATAGTATAGTCGACGACGTATGTAGAAATGATTTTCATTCTTATATTTGTTTTTTCTTACTTGTAGTCTTGATGATGGATAACAAATAAGATAGTTATAATTTAGTGACCAGCTATTTCAATTTGAAAATTTCGTTTTATGAATGATGATCAGTGCACTAATTAGTTGTATTTCTAACTGAAGAACACATTTTGATTCCGCCAACGTTGAATAAACTGAAATATAGATGTATTATTTTTATCTAGAACAACTATCATAGATATGACATTGAGGTAGAATGAGTTGCTAGAAGAAACAGAAAGTTTCTTTAATGAATTCAAAAAGAGGAAACTGAATGAGTAAAATAAAGAAAAACAAAAACAAAAAGTGTTTGTATATATATAAGTTATTGCAGATGAGGTCACCTAAATATAACACAGACAGATAATCATAAAATTTGAACTAGTATGGTGAATACTTTACTTGCATGATGCTCTTATTCGAATCTTCTTTAAAAGGGATTATATTGTAGCAAGAAGTTTCATTTTGTGATTGATCACGACTGATAAGTCTTCTGGTTCATCTTTATGTATAATAACATCTTTCAAATCCTTGGAATCCTGTTGTAAATTTTCAGTTTGTTTTTCATCTTCATTCCAACAATATTTTGAACATATCCAGTGAATAATTTGGAATAGCCAAAATACAACTATGGCTATTGGTATACCCAAATACAATAACAGTTCGATTTTTCGATCAACACCCGGTAAAATTGCACCACGGCGTATTATACATTCGAGTGTCTGATCAGTAATAGGCCATGGTGATCGTGTAGTTCGGTCGTTGTAATGCCAGTCGTCCCCAAAATTGTATGGTCGATCAATAGTCAGCATTGAAATATTCAGTCTATCTAGAAAATAAGCAACAGTTATTCATGAAATTCGATGTATAATAGGTCAACATAGAAACAAGAGTGTAATCAGTACAGTTTCTATTTTTTAAGATTCTACGTTAACAAGATATGTAAAAAGTTTTATCTATCATCCTATATGTTTGTTTGCTGTACTTAATTATTTTTTTCTTCGTTTTCGGATGTGAAACATTTGTAATACGAGCATGAACATGACGATTATATACACGCGGTTTGTCGAAGAATCCATGATAAAAATCGTGAAGTATCTCTATGCCAGGATCACCAGCTAGTAAACTTACTTCGGTAAGGTATTTCCAAAAATCACTAATATATCTGAGATATTCAGCGACGAGACTTTCTTGAAATTTGTTCACTTCATCATAATTAATGTCGTTGATTTTGACACCAGTTAAACATAAAATATGGGCCGACAGTGACCGATCGTAGGGCCATTCATCTATTCGATTTTTCTTACATTTCTTGCATTGACATGCATCATCGTCTGTACTAAAACAAGTAAGAAATAATTTAGTTTCAAAACTAAAATCATTCATTTTATTACCAATGTTTGACTCCTTGGAACGGTATTCGTTTTCCGTTTTCATCAAATGGATGCAACATCCATCGTTTATATTCTTCACTAGCAAAAATAATATCATCATATTGATTGAATTTATTTTGTTTTTCCGTAATTTTTGTCTATCAATTGAAATATAGATAGTGATAGAATAAGATCTAAAATAACAAAAAGAAGTAGAATTTTGTAATCGAGTCATATCAATTTTTGAATAATATATCAATATTGATATTAAAAGATAAAAACTTTTAATACTAGTAGAAAAATAATAATAATCAATCAATTACAATAAACTAAAACAAGAAGAAAAACGAAATTATGAATAATGAATTTTGAAGTAAACATTACTGCTAACGAATAAATTGAATATTATTGAACGAAAACAAAATCATAGACTAAAAACAGTGTTCATGTATTATTTATTATACATCTCTTCTGATACATATGATGCGTTATAGCAATAGTCGGGAGATTTTATGTATTTTGCATACCAAATGAATTTCCGGAAATTGAAACTGCCTGTCACACAAACTGAAGAATTCAAGCAGCGATGATTGTATTATAAGGCATATAGGGCATATGTGACGGAACGGCTTGTTCGTTCCTCTCTTTTATTCCGAAAAAATGAATGCTTTTTTGAGTAACAAAGCTGATACGAATAATATAAACAGTGAAGAAGAAGAGAAGAGAGAAGCAAATGTAAACTAATGATTAAATGATAAGAGTGATTAATGAGTACATGCATTCTTGATGGAGTCGTGATGGATGGAATCCGTCACATACCCCTCCGCCACGATGCGAGTGCACCGCATGAGCATAAGAAGAGAGTGAAGGTAAATAATAATGATGAGAAATTACAAACAACACGAAAGAATGGAAGAATAAACATGAGCTAATAACACATATGCAATTGATGAAATATAACACAACGAAAGAAACGGAAGAAACACACGCAACAGACAATTGATATTGGAATAATCAATGAAACGAATCATAATAGGGAAGGGAAGAGAAAGATTAACACATTCGTAATACAATGTGAAATGATTGCTGGAGAGGAGAATACGAGAAAAAGAGAGAACATATTCGTTTTTTTTTTGTTTTTTGTTTTTTGTTTTTTTGACGGTCAAAATGTTCACGACAATTCGATCATTTCGGTGTTGAAACTTGATGGTAGCTCGAATGATGGTGAATTGTGTGCGGGATATCCAGAAGAATTGAGTTGCGTCGTTGGTGAAGCGGCCATGCAGGGAAGATGTGTAGATGGAGCAGGTTGATGTTCGGCGGGATGGTGTTGATGATGTATGTTGGATATTGGACGTGACGTTAACCGATATGGGGCGCGACGTGTTGATAGTCGATTATGTGTGGTAGTTGGTGGGTATTGACGATGCGGATGTGAGGTGTTATGTTTGATGGAATATGATGAGATGGTGGGCGATGGAAGGGACATGAGAGGGAGAGGGTGTGCAAGAGCTTGATGAGATGTGTTTTCATTCCGTGTGGGGTGAAGATCAAGAGACATAAGAGGTTGAACAGATGGTTTGTGTAATGAATTAGTGGAAGAGTCAGTGGTGGTGGAGGTTAATATGGGGGATAGTGTCCACGCTAATTGAATTAAGCGAATAGTGTGTGCTTGAGAAGAATTATTTTCACGAATGGCGAGAAGTGTTTCGAAGAATAATTCGTATGAGGAGGGACGAGTGGATACAAGGGACCATGTGAGGCGTATGACATCGTCGGGATCGATGTTGTTTCGTCGGAGAAAGGCTGATGATGGTATGGAATCAAGGAGGGTAATAGTAGTGAGAGCATCGGGAAGGTGAGGATGGGACGGAAAATGGCTGTTGAGCCATGCACGGATCAACGTTAAGGTGGAGTCAATGGGGGGAAAGGAAGAGAAGTTAATGGCCTGTGATGTTTTGATGTTATGCCATATACATGCGATTAGATCGACAGGTTGTTGTTCATTTATAGATGCCATGTTCTATAAGGAAAGTGGTTGTATATTAAAGTGGAGGATGGAATGATTGATGAGAGCATTTATGTTTCTTTGCTCTCCCCTTTCTCTCTCTTTTATTTATTTATTTTTTTTTAAATTGGAGTTATATTGGATAGATCTGTGTTAGGTGGAAATTGGACTGGTTGGGAGAGGGGGAAGAATTACACGAAGGTCTTGTAATAAACGTTGTGATTGACATCTACGAATGTAGCAAGTGGTCGCGATGAAAGTAGTCACCACTGTTAACCCAAAGAAACCAACAATACTAAGGAATGTATATAGAGGATGTGAAAAGACGAGGAGGGTGGTTGAAGGGGGTCGCTGTCCAGTGGATCGTGTGAACTCTTGGAGTTCGTGTGCTCTGAGCTCAGCGGTGGTCCAAGTATAGTTCTTTGTGATATGGGTGTGAATATCGAGCACAGAAACATTGGCAAGGAAGAGAGTGTTATTATAGAAGATGACGATAGACGGAGTAGAGTGAGCAATGGGACGACCTGTAATAGAAAAACCGGGGCAGGCAATAGTGGAACCTTGGGTAACATTAACTAAAGCAACGGGAGGTAAAATGATTTGCTCGTTTAGGGTCGATACAGGGTTTGATATAGTGTGGAATTCAATTTTGTTAAGTATAATGCAATGCAATGGTTGAGGAGAAGATGTGACCCATAGGTTGTCACGTAGTTGTCTTAGGAAGAAAGGAGAAGGGGGAATGGGAACCATAAGACATTTGGATAACGGCAGTCCCTGTAGAATTTGGCCGAGGCATGATTGATTGGATATGGAACGGAATGGGGGTGTGTTTCGACATGTGGTCATCAAACTAAAATCGCAGCCGATAGCGTCTTGCTCATACCATTCGATGGTGAGGTAAGTGGACGGATCGACAGCGAAATGACGAGGAATATGACTGAGCTGTAAAGTTTCATGTTGGTGAAGAAAAGGAGTAGTTACGAGTTTGTATAAGAGAAAAACAGGTGAATTATATCGAGGGACGGTGAAGAAACTGGTGATCACTAGTCGTCCGATTTCGTTGGGATTGGATGTGGAATAAAGGGTTGTGGGAATGAAATCGATTTGTTGTCGAATAAGTAGACGGGTAATGATCTGCGCTAACGGGAGTGATCCAAAATGAGAGTTAAAAGTTAAATTTCCTTGACGGATGATGCTATAGACAACGGTATGTAGATCATTAGGTGCGAGGAAGGCCAGAGTGAGATCGTTTTGAAGGATTTGGTTGAGTGCTTGGTATAGAAATGAATGTTGAAACTGCGTTTGTAAGAGTGAGACACGATTGTGTAATAGATTTATAGAATCTGATTGGTTCTCTATGATAGGTAGAAGAGACTCGAGTAGTTTTTGTGTCATTTGCAACTGTGCAGTTAACTGAATTTGGTCGGACTGGATCGTCACCAGTTGAGCCCCAAAGATTTTGGTACTATCGGATAGTTCGGTAAGTACTTTGCTAACTATTGCTATCTCTTTTTGCAGACCTAGAATTTGTAGAGAATTGGAAATAGAGAATCCAAGACTGGCAGTTCCCAATCCTAGGCTGAGAATGGCAGAGAGAATACGCTTATTTCGATGAAGAGTCACATTGCATGAGAGAATTTGTTCAGCAGCTAAGAGCGGGAGAAAGTGACACATATCGTTAGTCATAGGAAAGATAGCGGAATTATGAATGATTGTGTCGGAGGGGATATATGGACCCATGTAATCAAGAAAGAGACCTGATTCTGGGTGTGTAATGGTGGTGTTTGTGGAGAACCTGATCTCAGGCGATATATAAGGCAGAAGAAGTAAAAGACAGGCAAAGGTGAAACTCATATTCAAGCGATGCAGTATAATTAGAGAATACTTACAGGGTATGTAGATTGAGATGTATAGTTGTTAGGGTTAGATGTATATGTATAATTTTATTTTATTTTTTTGAGTTTATTATATATTTGCGAATGGGTATAGGTGTTCAGCGAGTGAGTAATGAATAACGTCTGATGGTGATAGAAGAGCTTTTTTAAGAAAATGATGAATAAGAGAGGAGTGAGAAGGGAGGATGAGAGAGAATATATAACGCTCTCTCCTTTTCTTTTCTTATTTCTTTTCCCCAATTATATGTCCGCTGTATCTGTTGATTGGATAAACGGGTAGAGAGAGAGATATAAAGGAACAACGAAAATGAAACAGGTTATCGTCTTCCCGTCTGTTCTCCCTCTTCGTTTTTTGTATATAATGTTATAAATTCAAGCGATTCGGTTGTTTACGTGTACGTACTGGACGTTGATATCTCTGTGAATGAATGAGAGAAGGAGGAGGGGCGAGATTATTATTAAGAGGAATGTGTGGAGCGGTCGTGTTGTTGACGACATTCACATTAACACTCATTAGTGGTTGGAGCGGTGTAACCGAATGGGGACCGTTTGTATTTCTTTGAAGCGTGTCACGTTGCCTATTCGGCGAGTAAAAAAGTTTAAGGCGATCTATGTTGGTCGCTCCTAAATTCACTCCATCGGAAAGGCGGTGGATGATAAAAGAGGAAGGACTAAGGACTTGAACAATACGACAAGGTCCTTGGTATAGGGGATCAAGTTTTCCATGTTTCAGCACTGAAGGTATAGAAACCCAAACGAGTTGACCTTCTTTAAAGGAACGGTTAGAACTATGTTGATCATATTTATGTTTCTGTTGCATTTTACGAACTTCATTGTGTTCTTGAGCGATACGGTGAGCTGTGAGCAAATCCTTACGAAGATACTGTTTATACGTGTCAACTTCGGTTGATATAGATGTTGGTAATAGGGGTTCATTGTTGCCAGGGTTAGTGATGAGTAAATCAAGTGGCAATTTAGGATCCCGTCCAAAATTTAGATATGCTGGTGTATCTCCTGTTGTTTCATTGACGGATGTACGAATAGACAGCGCCAATTTTGATAGATGTCGGTCCCAAGAGTGTGCATTCTCTTGAGCATATTGTGCTATCATTGGCTTAAGATTACGATTCATTCTTTCAGTCATATTTGTTTGAGGATGATAATTGGATGTGGTTTTATTTCTAATGCCGAGTGAGGAACAAATGTTAGTGAATAATTCAGAGACAAATTGTGGACCGTTATCGGAAAGAATATAAGTAGGACAACCCCAACGACAGATAATCTCATTAACTAATATATGTGCTATATCTGAGGAGGTGGTTGTTCTAAGAGGGAACAATTCCACCCAGCGTGTAAAATAATCTACTACAACAAGTAAATATTGTTTCTGTCGCTGGGTGACAGGGAACGGTCCCATGATGTCTACTCCAATGGTATGCCATGGCTCTTGAACGATGTGCATTTGTAATGGAGCGTTAAGTGACTGGTTAATATATTTATATTTTTGACAGGAGGGACAACTTCTTATATATTGAATAAGGTCCTGACGCATAGTGTTCCAATAGACACGATTTGTTAGACGGTAGAGAGTTTTTTCACGACCACCATGCCCTGCAGTAGGATGATCATGAGTCCAAGATAGAATCTGTGATTGTAAAGACTTAGGGATAACTAAAAGATGTTGCATTCCAGCGAGTCGTTGATGAGTATTATTTGACGGAGAGCGATATCTATAGAGGATGCCATTAATGAGAGTAAAGGGAGGATGAAATTTGTGATGGAGGGGATGAGTAGGATTGGATAATATATCAACAATGGGTTTGAGTCGAGCGTCATTGTATTGTTCTGTGCGAATATCGTCAAGAAGTGTACAATTATCCCAAAGATTCAACAATGGTGGTGAAGATGTAGTATTTAATAGGGTAAGATGTGGGGAAAGGGGGTATCGGGATAGAGTATCGCAGTTTGTATTTATTTTCCCTGGTTTATACTTGATATCAACGATGTTAAATGCAGATAAACTGATTGCCCATCGAGCGAGGCGTCCAGAGGAATCTTTGGTATCGAGGAGCCACTGTAAAGCTCGACAGTCTGATCGAATATAAATCATTGTACCTTCTAGATAGGGTCTAAAATGTTTAGTGGCCCAGTATATAGCTAAGGCTTCTTTTTCTGTAGGAAAATAATTTCTTTCAGCTGCGGTTTGAGTGCGACTAGCGTACGCTATAACGAATAGTTGATTGTCATACTCTTGACTAAGGATAGCGCCTAGACCGTAGTCACAGGCATCAATTTCGAGAATGAAGGGTTCAGTGAAGTTAGGGGTCTGTAGTATAGGAGCTTGAGTTAGGGCTGTTTTTAATTCCTCGAATGCTTTAGTGCATTTATCGGACCATTCAATATGGTTTAGTGGACGTTTAGATTTTTTCTGCGAGCGGAGCTGAGAGATTAACGGTTCTGCCATTTTTGCATAATCCTTGATAAATTTACGGTAGTAGCCAGTTAAACCTAAGAATGATTGAATATCTTTTATTTTTGTAGGTTGTGGAAACAACTGAACGGAGGCTACGAGACCGGGATCTGGCTTAATGCCATCAGCAGTAATTAGGTGGCCAAGATATTTTAATTCTCTTCGACAAAAATCGCATTTAGAAGCTTTTAGTGTAAGACCAGCATTAGCAAGACGATCAAAAACAGTGGATAAATCGTGGATATGTTGCTCAAAAGTGGGAGAAAAAACAATGATATCATCAATGTAAACAAGACAGGATTGCCATTTAATTCCGGCTAGAACAATATCCATTAACCGTTGAAATGTGGCAGGAGCGTTAGAAAGTCCGAAAGGCATAACTAAAAATTCATATAGACCTCGATGAGTGATGAAAGCTGTTTTATCTCTACTATCGGGATCAATTTCAACTTGCCAATAGCCGGATCGGAGATCCAGAGTTGATATATATTGAGCTGCTCGTAGTGAGTCCAGGGTGTCGTCGACACGGGGCATAGGATAAGCGGTACGAATTGTACTAGCATTTAATTTTCGGTAGTCGACACAAAACCGAAGTGACCCATCCTTTTTTGGGGATAAAACGATTGGTGATGCCCATGGGCTACGAGAGGGAGCAATTTGACCGGCTTCGAGCATTTCGTCTAATTGTTTATCTACTATTGCTTTTTTAGATGGAGGAAGACGATATGGCTGCATGTTGGATGGTTGCGTTCCTGGCTGAAGTTCGATGGTATGCTTTGCCATATGTGTACGACCTGGTTGTTCTGTGAAAACATGCGGAAAACGGTTTATAAGGGTGGTAAGTTGAGCTTTTTGATTCTTATCTAGATCAGAATAGGATAAATCAGGAATATGTGTTTCTCTAGTTGTAGGTTGATGAGGTATTTTTTCTAGACTATGTAATTGGTGTGCATCTTCCAGTGTCATGACGGCTAGTTTTTGGTTGGGATGAATATCGATAGACAGGTGAGAAAAATTGGAAATTTCAATACAAAGCATCTTTTGAGGTGAGATTAGACCGTTAGCGACGAGGGGATTTTCATGAAGTGATGAAACAGAATAAATTTGTGTGTCAGAGAATTCGGAGAATGGCTTCGTTGGTTGAACAGGGATAACCATAGAATGATAAGATGGTAGATGGTGTGACTCTACAGCAGCTAAAGAGTAACATGAGAGGTTGGATGGATGGTGGGGAATTGGATCATCGTGGTAAGGAGGTGGCGTTGGAGGTGTTAATACCGAACTGACGTTTGATTCTGGCGGAAAGAGGATTTGATCATTATTGCCTCCGACATAAAGATTATATTTACGAAGAAAATCGAGACCGAGAATGCAAAAGTGTTGTAATTGAGGAAGGATATAGACAGGATGTAGGAAGGATTTATTAGAAAAAGAGATATTTAAATGAAATAGGCTATGTGTGCGTAAAAATTGACCATTAGCGCATCGAACGGATACTGAGGAAGATTTAATAGGAATGAGAGGGTATGGTCGATTGTTGATACGATGAAACGCATGTTCATTAATTACGGTTAAATTCGAACCAGTATCGATAGTGAATGTAGTTGGATATCCTTCCAATGTACCATTGACTTGTAGTAATTGGGAGGAAGGGAGGATGTTATAGATGGAGCTAATAGAGAGTGAGGATTTTTTCTTTAAATAGGTGTCGGAGTCTCGCCACCTCCTACCAGGAAGACTCCGTACTAGTTTTTTGAGTTATGTGAGTAAGGGGGAAATTGAGAACGAGTACATTGGGATGCCAGATGTCCCGGGATGTTACATTTATAGCAAACAATATTGGAACGGGTATTATGGACAGGATTAGAGCGAGTTGAGGAAGCATATTTAGAGCGAGAAAAATCAATAAGTTCAGCCTCACGGGCACGGGTGAGAAAATTCTCGAGTGTATGAGCGTTAAGAACACCGATAAGAGGTACCAATTGAGGACGAATTTTAGTGAAAAGATGTCGAACAAGGTCGCGTTCGATTTCATGTGGTTTGTGTTCAGACCAGAGACTACGTAGACGGACTAGAAAGTCATTGATGGACTCATCGGATTTTTGAATACATTTGTGCCACTCTTGTTCGAGCTGAGCGAGTCGTAACGGGGAACTAAATTGTTCTAGGAAGAGAGTGTGAAAGACGTCCCAGTGGGTAGGGGGATTATTACTAGTGATAATTTGTGTGTACCATTCGAGAGCATTGCCTCGTAGAAATTGACCAATATTCTGAAAAAGTATTTCCTTATCCCACCCAAAGGAGGAGTTCGTATATTGATGGAGTTGTACAAGAAAGGGGCGTGGTTTTTCGTCGGCTTTGCCAGAGAAAAATGGGGCAACAGTGGGTGGTTGAATAATGAAAGTTGTTCTAGGAGGAAGTGTGATCGATGGTTCGTGTGGAGAAGAAGGAATTAAGCAGGGCCGAGAAGAAGCAGAATGGTTGGAAGGTGGTGAGGGAGATGTGATAGGGGTAGAAGCACGAAGAGCAGTTAGCGTGGCACGAAGTTCAGCGGTTAGTTCGGATATTTGTGTGGAAACAGAGAGATGAGACTCCTTAATCTGGGTATCCAGCTGCTGAATTGCAGTATCCAGGTGTTGAAATTTAAGTTCATGAGCAGTGGAGAGAGTCTTTACTTGATCGGTGAAATGTTGTTCAAGTTCAGTGACTTTAGCTTGTAGAATAGTGAAGGTACTTTCGAGGTTAGTGGTGCGTGTGATTTCCGTTCGGAGTCCATCACTGAGGCTCGTGAGACAATCTTTTAATTTTTGTCCGTCGGAGTCAGCCATGATCGTAGGAGTAATCAATTATGGTATTAGGAAAAATAGAGATAATTAGTAGAAGAAAATCAGAAAAATTGATGGGGATATTTACCGTGATGCGAGGAAATTTTGGAGTTGGGTAAAAACGGAAGATTCACAAAAATTCGATGGATGTGATCGCCACGTGTGACGGAACGGCTTGTTCGTTCCTCTCTTTTATTCCGAAAAAATGAATGCTTTTTTGAGTAACAAAGCTGATACGAATAATATAAACAGTGAAGAAGAAGAGAAGAGAGAAGCAAATGTAAACTAATGATTAAATGATAAGAGTGATTAATGAGTACATGCATTCTTGATGGAGTCGTGATGGATGGAATCCGTCACAGAAGAAATAGTTCCTGTTGATATGGATCATTGGGTATGGGATTTTTCATGTACGAAAAAGTAGGCTGTGCCTTAGGACGCGAGATAAAATTACCAATACTTAATAGCTGTTGTTCGACTAATTTATTCAATATATTGTTTAATTCATTACTATCAATATGATGGAATGGAGCATTCGTTTTCCTTCCACTTTCATTAATTGTTGGCTGCTTCAAATCAGACCGAAGAAAAAACTGGAATGGAAGTTGTAATAAACGTTTTTCAACCGATGGTTTTTCTGCAAGCAAATTTCGAAAGTTATTTGACGGCATACTTAATTGAGTTGATGAGCGTTCTAAATTAAGCAAACCCATTGTGGTTTTAAACAAATAATTGTCATATAAATTTGCCGTAATTTGACATGTTTCCAAAGTAACGGTACTAATAACAACACCATCAGATTGTTTTAACAAACTTAAAGACCTTTCTACATATCTTGTTGCCGTGTTAACAAATGATCGATCAACCATTTGAGAAAATTCTAAATCTCCATGTTTTTTCATCTCCAACAACACCAACATGGCATCCAAAAACCGCTGCATATTTACACACAGTCTTGGGAATATTTCTGCACTTTTCGAATAAAACGATTGCAGGTGCGGTTGTTGTCGTTCACGAAATAATCGCTGGCCTTCTTCAATATAGTAACGACCTTTAGTAGCATAGTATCTTTGTGCTTCATCATTGCCTAAAGAATCAATAAATGTATACACTACTCGTCCAATCAGATGAACAACAACAAATATTTGCTGCAATGATGGTAACAATCGATCAGATTTCTTTACTAAATCATAAGGAGTTGGATTATTTTCAATAAAATGATATAAAAAACGATTGTCACAGCCGTCCGATATCTTATGAACCGTGTAGCGGGCCAATAACAAATGAAGTGAGCCACCAGTACATGCACCAAGCAGTGATAAACGAGAATCTTTTATAGAAAACTCGTACATCCCTGTCGTTTTCGATGACTCAGAAAAACCGTCAAAAGCTTCACACAAAAGCGAACGATTTGAGGAACTACCCATTTGCGCTAAATGAAAAATATATATGCCTATGTATATATCATACGTTTCAGCCAGTTAATTAGGATGTTTTTGCGTATGTGAATATTTTATTGAATTTTATTCGCATTATTTTTTTTATAGAAAATCAAGAGCGTCAATCCCTTTCTAACTTTCTTCATAATCTACACAGCGAGGGTATTTTCAATATCAGTTGACTACTGTTGAACTGAAACGAACACTTTCAACTTACAATTACTCTGAATGTTCCTTATAGTAGCTGTCATAATCGTAACCAAAAGGACAGAAATTTACACAAGAAACGGTAAAACCTTATCTTTATAAAAAAAAACACTCGCAAATAGTAAAAATAAAATCTTTCTCTCGACAAATGCTACAGGAATATCAAAACAGCAAACGATGAATGGTTATTTCTTTTTACGATACCCTGTAATGGTAAATGGTTCTGATACATACGTTTATCTGTTTGCATTAGGAAAAGAGCTTTTACATATAATACATAGGTATGTAACACTGATATATTCGCCTAATGATCTCTTTGTAGCTGACGTCTGTTGTACCAAAATTGTCTCTCTCGATAATCTTTCATAATTTTTTTTACTGTTTACAATATTTAATGTATCAATTGGATTCTGCGAAATAAAAAAAAATATCTGAAATCTTCAATCAATTTCAACGAATCAAGTTCTCATTAAGAATCTCATACAGAAACATGAAGTTGAATAAGAATCTATAACAATATCATTTCTAATCTTTCTATTCATACAAAATTTTGAATTTTTTCATCCAAAATTGGAAATTTAATCAAGTAAAAACTAAAATAAATTGTAATTTGATTCGCATATCTATTTTTTTAGCAATCTCATTATCTATATGTCTTGTACATGAAAATGATTGCTAACATGTACTCTTGGAGAATTAAAAACAAATTGTAAGATAAACTTTTATCTTGTATAGGGATAGACGTTGAGGGAAGTTATAAAGCAAATAACATAATTTTTTTACCATTTTGGTAGAATCCTAATTTACTTAAATTAGAATCGGCTTCATGCATGAGCAAGAATTTGCTTCCAGTGGATAATTCTTTGTTTAAACCTGCACCTGTGATATCATGAATAACTGATTTTTTTCCATCGTTAACAAAAGCTTCGGGAAATAGATTTTCACATGTCTTACAACAAGATTGAACAATATTAATTAAACCGCTTTTATCCGAACCTAAGCCAATAATAAAATTAATTGCTTTAGTCAAATATCATCAGAAACATTTGATTTATATTAAAAATAACATGAATTAGCAGGATTCTTTTCAGCAACATAAAGTATAATAGAAGATATTGAGTTTCATATCACAACACCATTTTTACTCATTACTCACATGATAGATGTCAATAGTGTGCTGATACATAAAAAATTGACTTATTGTATTGTACAAAATGAAAAGCATGAACGATATATGAGTACTATATTTTGCGACTGTAGCTGAATGCCAAACTAACTAGAACACTCACATTTAGGCATGGTTCACACTCCAAACTAAAATTTATTAGACCAAACTTACCAAACCCAAACTGTCTGGGTTTGATTCATGCATAGTTACGTTCGTTAAGTAGTTGTCATTACGATGAAAATAAAATTTTCTCATCTTATTCAATCAGTTACAGATGAAAGTAGAGAGTTCATATCAATATATATGAGTGACTTGCAACTTTTTGGTACGATTGACAAAAAAAAATGAAAGTAAAGCTAAACACTTTTCGAATAGTGCATTTTATTATACTCTATGCCAGTTATTGCATAAAATTTTCCCGACACTTTAGCCATTATTAACGGAAATATGCTTTATACAAACATATGACTTTTCTATCAGGCGTTGTAAAACCATGGCAATGCTCTCTTGAATTTAAACTATAAATGATAGCACGAGGTGTTATATACCAAAACAATGCGTATCAAAAATTGAATTTTTTAGTATAATTAATAGGTCATAACACATTTCGTACACATGAATTTATTGCAATTTCTTGTTTTTATGCCAAATTGGGGTCGTAGGTCACGAGTTTTATTCATTATGTACATATTTTCATAAAAATAAGCGCAGCTTCATGATCGCCGTCGACTTGTATATAAATTGAAATATTTGAACGTAAAAAACATTTTGCAAGCTTTTGCTTGTGGTACCCCTCGTCGTTTTTCTCCAAAAACGTTTCATCAAAAAAATGTATTAATAATATGTCTATAGATTCAGGTTTCGATGAAGATTAAGAATTTGCAGTTATTTTTAAGAAAATATGTACGCTTCGTATTGATGTATACAGTTTAATTTGATAAAATTCTTTAATTAGATTCATTTTATGCTGTAGAAAAACTGAAATCGGCTTTTCAACTTTACATATAGAATAAACAGTAGAAAAAAGCACAAACCAACAAAATCTGAAAGATGTATTCTGTTGAGTTAAGAAATACTTAGAAAAATGTTTCCAAATCAAATATACGCGAAGTATCTGCAAAAAGAGGGTCTTCTACAATTTTTCAGTATATTGTAAATTTCTCTTGAACAGTGATTGCATGATAGAGGACTGAAATTTTGATCGCTTACAGAATTTTTGTTTTGTATCTTCTGTAAAAATTTCAGCCAAAATGAGACAACTGTTCGGGAGTTATAAAATGCACAATTATCAAAATGTCAATCTACCAAGTGAGTATAACGATTTTTTTTTCAAAAGTTCTGCTATTTGTGGTCAGAAATACAATTGATAAATAAACAGATTTTTTACCAGTTTGTTACTTGAAAAGTTCTCTTTCTTATCTTATAGTCTGAAACCGCTAGCTCTACAACAATAGAAGCCGGATTAGTATTTGTGTCGCTCTACAGAAAAATATAGAAGTGTCTGTCAAACTATATGAACGTTAGACAAGTGAATGGAGAATGTATAAAATCTAAACCAATAATATATTTCAATAGAACACTGAATGGTGAACAAACTTTGATGTTCGTATTTATTCCTTTGTAATTTCTTGTCGTCAATTATTCTCTTTCTTGGTGCACGTCATCAAAAAATGACGTTCTTTTTCGCAATGCATCTTTCATAAGTAATCTATAGTATGAGATGGAGGGATGAAATTTTGTACAGAACTGGGACACTTAGGGACTACTACCCAGTAAAAATTGTCCAAATCGACTGAAGAGGAAAAAGGCTATTCAAAAAATACAGCTAAACTTCAACTGTGCCATAAATTTGCAATTCACTGATATACAACATATGTATTTGATAGAGATATATTTATCATTTCTTGTCCCAACCCAACCCAACCCACCAAATCTGTATACAACCTATACATATTCATATGGATATAGACAGAATTTATACTGATATATAAATGACTCTTACATTATATTAAAATGTATGATATAGCTTGATAGAAATCTAAACGATAACCATCGTTTGTATACACTTCTTTATCTACGTCTTAGTTTATTATAGTATGTAGCGCATTTTGAATTTCCTGGAAATAGGAATTTTCCATGCTCTCAAAAAATCAATTCGATTCGATTCGACTCGACTCAAATTGGGTTTACAAAATATGGTATTCACTATTACATAGTATTGTTGTTTTCAGACTGTCATCGTCTTAGAATGAGAATAGTCTGTCG